GAAAGTTTTAAATGAAAGTCTGCTCACTGCTGGGTTACGGTCTCATTTTTGTCGCTCGCTTGGTATCTGTTATACATTTGTCACCTGGCAGTCTTATTGGTGAAAGCATTTATTCAACATTTATTAAAGCTTCACACTAGAAGGGATCTTAGCAGTCACGAATCCTAGTGAGGAAACAAGCCGAGGAAAAGTCACGTGAAATGCATGTGCTACGTTGAAGTCCGAATACATCCACTCCCAAACAGTTGGTACTCAACTTCCTTTTTCCTTTTGGCTTGGGTCCCAACCCTGACTAGTATCATGGGACAACTAATCCTTCCTTTGGGATTGTCATGTTCTACCTGCTTTCTCAATGAAAGCCCCGGTGTTCCTCCAGAATCATCGTGTTCTTTGCAGAGAGCAGGTAGGTGACTTTTGCCATCAAGGATGAGCACTGCAGCCTGTGTTTCGGTTACTGTTGAGCGGAATAAGCATTGCCATTTGCAGGGCCTTTTCCTGGTCATCTTTCATTTCATGGGGGCCTGGTGAGATTTCACATCTTCTTTTAGAAGAAGTTGGCATCAGATTCCCCTTTTTCCTTCGGTATCGCTAGCGTGGGTTCACGTGCAGCTGGAATGATGGTCGCCGGCAGCCGCGTTAAAGGAACCCGAGGTGCTCGGCCCGCTTTGGTTTGATGCCGAGGCAGGAGGGGGTGACTGGGGCCAGGGGTCCGGCAAGTCCCTGAGGCCGCACGCAGAGCTGCGTGTGAGCCTCTCTGGAAGGTCATCACGGCGTCCGAGCGGCTCGGCCGCACCTGGCAAAGGCCGCCGGCTGCTCTTCTAGGGGATTTTCACTTTTGTCCCCGTAAGGAATTTCTGCTCATAAAGATTTCTCGGGTGACACATTCGTTGTGCAAATTACGATAATTTTCCATTTCCCCTATGAGAAATGTTTTCCCGTTGAGAAGTTTTGAGTCACCAGGTCTCGTAGAAAATGTCTTAGAGGTTTTATAGTAAAGAGAAATGAAGGCGCTCAGGCATTGTGGACACTGTCTTTCTCCTTCCTTCCTTCTTCCTTTTTTTTTTTTACTTGGTTTGACTTTGTTAATGGCTAACATTTAGAAGTGGCAAAAGAGAATGCAGAAAGGATGTGCCCTGGCAAGTAGAGCTCCTTCCTGCCCTTGCCCTGCTCCTCCGAGGGCCCCTCCCCTGTGTCTTGTACTTCCGGTGACATATGAGCTGGGATGTCACAGCCTGGGCTGATGGTTTTGCACAGACCGCACGACCCTGCTTCCCCTAGGAAGGGTCAGGTTCCGAGTGTGTTAAGGGACTTTGAGCCACTCCGAGAAGACGTACTCAACATTTTTCAAAGGATGTTACAATGTTTAATGGGCAGGCCATTTGCACGGGTTGCCCTGAAAGGTCCGCGTGAATGTGTGCACCCTCCTGGTGCCAGCTGGGGGTGACGTTGCCTCATTTTTCCCATCCCAAGGGTCCAGCACTGTGGGACTTTCTAACTGCTTTTTCTGCTTCTGGCCCTTCCTCTTTGAGTCTGTTCTCCATACTGATGCAGCCAGAGTGACCTTTCAGAAACGTGAACCTCACCGTGGCCCCGCCCTTGCTCAAACCCCCGGCAAGGCTCCCGACTGCCAGGCATGAACGCGAGGTCCTGACATGGTGGGCATGGCCCTGTGTGCCTGGCTCTGGCCTGTCCCTCCAGCTGCATTTCTCACCACGTTTTCCACTCAGTCGTTTCTCTTGGGATGCTGAGGTGTACCGTCCCTCCCCCACCCGGTCCCGAGCCCACGCACCAGTTTTTCTCCTGAACGCACCCCGTTGCGTATGCTGTCCTCTTCTCTGAACATCCTTCTTGCCTTTGTTCGTGTGTCTTGTTGGCTGTGACCAGGTACCGTATCCTCCTGTGGCACCCCTTCAGAACTCAGCAGAGGATGGCGACGGGGTCTGGAACCTTCTCCCCGGTGAAACGTCCTTGAAGGTGGGCGCCTAGGCCCGACTTTGTTCCCGGGGGGGCCGCCAGCTCCCATCAGGTCACCTGCACTGGGCAGTCCTCTGTGGTTGGTTTCAAGTGTAAGTTTGCTACTCTGTCCCCTCGGCCACCACATGTGAAGGTTAGACCCCCGAATCCAACCGTGTTAACCTCAGTGGGCAACCCGCCTCAGGCTTTCTGCCGAAGAGACACAGTAACAGAGGCCTCACAGCAGAAGTTTGAAGCCGGATGGACACAACGCCCGAGACCTGAGTGCCCTTTTGTCACGTTGGACCAGGCCGTGGCTCCCTCCTCTCTGTCCCCCTGCTGTGGAGAGGAGCCGCGTGCCTCAATGGCAAAGGGGGTTCGCTTGGCATAACCTGGTTTGGTTTGTTTTAATTCATTTTTTCCCCTTCTTGTTCAACTGTGTATCAGTCACAGACCTGTGTTAAGAGAAATGGGGTGCTTGGGTGGCTTAGTCAAGCGTCTGACTCTCGGTTTCAGCTCAGGTCATGATCTCCTGTTTTTGTGGGTTTGAGCCCTGCGTGGGCAGTGCAGAGCCTGCTTGGGATTCTCCCTCTCTCCCTCCCTCTCCCTCCCTCTCCCTCCCTCCCTCCCCCTCCCCGTCCCCCTCTCCCCCTCCCCCTCCCTCTCCCCCTCTCTCCCC